TAAAGGATATTGGATTAATTCTTTATAACGAAAGATACGGCAAATTGCATTGGCGAGTTTTTATTTAACAATCCAGAGATCGTACCCGAAGGATTTAGAAAATAATCGAGGTTGATTTAGTAAAATCGTAACAATAGCATCATGTCTCGGTGATCGTTTACAATTTCACTGTATGTGTCAGATATTATATATAACAGTTTACACGTAGCTAAAGGTGTTCCTCACGGATCTATTCTCGGGCCTTTGTTATTTGTTTTCTATATGTTAACGATCTTCAAAGTGTGTTAAAACATTCATGTATACGCAGCTATATTCAATTATATTATATATCAGTTGCACGGTGAATCCGTCCATGATTGCATTAATGACCGATTTGGATCACTTTTGCAAGTAGGCCCGCAATAATGGTTTACTCTAAGCTTTAGATAATTGCAGTGAATAATTATATACAAGAAGACCTTCAACCTCGAAATCTACGGCTGAGTGAAAATAAAATACTTTGTTAAGTTCGTCGATACCGCGAGAAATCTATTAATAATTTTCAATAGAACTTTTTCGTGCAATAGGCACAGTTATAGGGCATTAGGCAAGGTTTATGGCATGCTTCGGACATCATTTCACAACATTAAAAATTCGGTTGCTTTAAGGAAAAACATTTCTATTACCAACCTTACTAAGGCTGAGTGCCAATCGGTTTATGATTTTCTTATAGTGAAATGAGGTGGGAAAAACTTACTACGGAGTGAAAATATTTTACAGTTCGCTGTGCCAATAAAATTCTAAAATTTGACGTAAAAAAACTCGTGAGGAAGTCTCATATACTTGTACTCTGGTAAAAGAATTAATAGAAACAAGGAAAATACTTTGCTTAACTAATGATCATTAGCTCTAAATAGCTTAAATCTTTTATATAACGTATTCAATTCACTAGATCTTACAGATCCCATAAATTGTTTAGCATAAAATACAGTTCCCTGGTATCTGAACGTCAGTTCTTTATTTTTGCTGTTCGTTTTTGAAACGCTCTGTTCTCATTTCAAGGCGATTCGATGTATGTTGGACTTTAAAAACGTAGTCTTACATTACTCTGCATAATCAATTATTAAATCTCTAACCCTAAACTTTATTTTCATGCTTTAAGAAAAAAGGACCGTTTTACAGGCCTATTCTGTCGAGGTAACAAAATTTACCTAGGTATTAAAATTTACCATTCAGTAAACTTTGTTACCATTTCGTATTCTGAGCTCACTGTTACCCTGTAAATTTTGTTACCAACGAAATAGGAGGTAACAAAAATATCTGCTGTTTTATTTTGTGTTGTTAATCTCAGAAAAAATAAAAACCAATATGGGTAGGCATATTTTAGGCCTGGAATTCATTGGAGATGAAGAAAAAAATGCAAAAACCGTACTCTAAGAAGTTTTCCAAACAAAAAATAGCCCTTTAATTTGTAAGATATCGTTTTCATTCAGCTTTTTTTTTTGTCCTGGCTTATTTTCCATAATTAGGTCCAAATATTTATGATGTAATAATCAAATTAATAAAACTTTTTAATTTTTGTGTGCACCGTCTTCCATTTCGATGTGGATATTTTTCTTTTTTACTTTATCAACTGGCAAAAAAAAATTTGACATGGACGAAAAAAATGGTGCTGCCAAATTTTTTCCAAGCATTGTAACCAGATCGCCAGAATACCTAATTCAATTTCGGGTGTTAAAAAAATGTAACGAAATATACTTTATTGGTAACAGTGAGAATAGACCTGTAAATACGGACTTGAATGTTCAATATGTTGATCTTCACTGTCACGAAGTGGTATATTGAAATCAAGATTTCGATGTCCCTCAAAGCACCATGAATGCGGTTATACTAACATAGAGCAAACGGAACTGGAGGAGAATGAAATCGATGAAAATATTCAAGCTGTGCGAACAACAACTATCCGCAACGAACTCTTTCGAGAAACCGAACGGATTCATGCACAAATGATGCGTATGATTTAGTTTTTATAGTTTTTAAATGATTTGTGAAGAAATTAATAGAAGAAGTATTTGAAAACAGTATTGTTTATTGTATCACAAATTCTGTCTTCATTGTTTTTATATTCAGGCATGGCTTTATACATATTTACATAAATTATAATACTACTAACTAAAATGTTTTTTACACAAACACTTAAAAAATTAAAATCAAATCATGTGGGTAAAAAAATAAGAGATTCATATATGTGGTAGTAAAAAAAACTAACTACAGCTTATCGGCTAGTTTGCCCAAAATCCCCAACCCTTTCCCCATTCGCATCAATTCAGAAGATAGCTTCTCATCTCTCTGCTTTTCAGCGTATCTTTAGCCATCATCTTTTAAAATGCATCCTTTGTCACTTTTTGTTAACGAGAAGTGGTGGGAGCAAGCGAAGGTAATGCATCAGAAGTTGAGGCAATGTTTGATGCATTTGGGTCCACATTTAACTCGGTGGGCGATTCGATCAGCGTTTGAAACAGGCATGCTTCCTCTTCGCTTAGTGGTGATGGAGTCGCAGGAGTTGTGAATATGCCCAAACAAGCACAAACTTAAAGTCTTGTGTATATTCAACAAATGGCAAATGATTTACTTTCAGGAAGACCCAAGGTTACGCATTCTAATCCATTGACTGCAACCATGCCAAATGCAGAAAGACCTTGTGCTTCAAACTCAAATAATTCTTCGCCTGTAAACGAACCTCCACCAACGCGCAAACGTTCTGCTTTTAACTGGCAAATGTAATTTGACAAGGACGAAAAAAGCAGTGCTGTCAAAGTTTTTTTTAAATATTGTAACCAGTTCGTCAGAATACCAAATTCAATTTCGGGTGTTAAGAAAATGTAACGAAATATACTTTATTGGTAACAGTGAGAATAGGCCTTTAAATACGGACTTAAAATGTTCAATATGTTGATCTTCACTGTCACGAAGTCTGAACCCGAAAATACTTCATTAATATATCGTTGAAATATTTGAGCACTTTTTCCAAGAGCAAAAGGCAAACGTACAAATTCAAACATACTGAAAGAGGTAGTAATTGCTGAATTCTGCATATCTTCATCAATATTTGAATACATAGTTTTATCTTTTAAATCAATATTTAAATCGTGAATGTAAGGTAACAGATATCGATCTAGAAAATCGATCGACAATATAAGTTTTTTAGACAATGTCGCAAAAACCAGAAATTTTAAATTTAGCTAAAATTTCAAATTTTTATTAATTTATTAATATTTCAATTATCGGCCACCGTCATAATGGAATGTTTTAGTTTAAAGAATTAGTGTTTGAAATATTTGTGTTTGATTCAAAATCGCAAGATTGTACACATTCGGATGCATTAATTTAATCTTTTTGATGATATCATCAAATATTTTTTGATTATTATTTCTGGACTTTGATGAATTTCTTTATTGAATTCACTTCAGCTCATTGATTTTGTTTAAAGTTTTATACATTCCGGTGTTAAGTCAGTTAAATTTTGAATGCATTGTTGTAAACTATTATTATTAACAAGAGTTGAAGCTATTGAAGATGAGGTTTATTAATTAGGTCGAAATTTTTTTCAACCAAAATAATAATTTCGTCATTATTTTGATTAATGGAAGAAGTTAAATTAATTTAAATTTTTTTGTGGTAATTATCGAGTCCATAATTTTAAAAGTAATTCGTGACTAACTATTGTATCCGGACCAGTTAACGATTTCATATATCTAAAAAACAATCTCTTTTCTTCATAATTGTTTAGTATATATATTGGTGTTATTTCGGATTGAGCATTTTTCGGGTTTTCACTGTTCTGTACGTTTTCTTTTCTTTTGATAAAAAGTTTTTGAATACCGCATAGATAGTTTTGTATTTCTTTTAACTGACTTTCACTATTTAAACTTTTAAAACTTTCGTTTTATTTGAGTAATCATTATATTTTTTTTTATTGTTTGGATGCGTTGATCTTGCTGTCACTGATGTTTTAATGTTCACATATAATACTCATACGTATTGAAAATTCAAATTATTGAGTTAACCGCAGAGTTCAGAAAAATTATATGTTAAATTATATGAAGAAAATTCGATGAGCAAGATCGCCAATTATATACAACACTATTCAAATATGTATTGTATTATATATGTAGCTCTATATATATAAATGTATATATATTTATAAAAATCTGTAAATATTTGATTTTTTTGAAATGTATTTATCAATTCTTGTTTGTTTGAAAATTAAAAATATAATAACTCAGAAAATAAGAACATTTGAAGTTGTAAATTATCTAGCATGTGCTTTTTGCGGCAGAGGTAAAAAGAGTGCCAAATTTTCAACTTTCATTTGCAAATTTCTTGAAAATTTTTGTTAGCGAATCGAGAGCACGGTTTATCAATACGATTTTTGTTGTCAAATTGGTTCTTTAATGCACATAGTACTTCCAAAGAAGAATTTAAGGCTTTAATCGCTTGTCGAAGTGTTCCCAATTTATATGCTTCTGAACTACCCAGGACTTTTGCACAAGACTTTCTAACGCATTTTTAAATGCAAGCTAATTTTCCCGACAAATGCTGGTATAGCTAACGAGTTCAGTTTCAGATCGACGGAATGACCATCAGGAACCATGCCATGAGCAGTTAGTACGTGGTGATTCGATTTTATTGCTGCTTTGCGGAAAATTAACTTACAACATGCTTCATCATATATCGCTTCCACGGTTTCCCACAATGCATCGGGCGGTGCTGACTTCTCTACCCAAATATCTATATCTTATACACACGGTTACATTTAAAAATGTAACCATAGATATATCATTTTTTTCCAAGAAGATTGATCCGCTTCCGGGAAAAAGGAATTTTAAGTAAAAAGAGTTATAAATTCGATTTCATGAATAATATTGAATTTTGCTCAAAGAAATTTTTGCCAACGAAGTGTGGCACCACCGCCGGCGCTGTGTTGTTAATTTAAATTGCATACATTTAGGGTCAAAAGCTAAGGCACTGACTGAATGCGAACAGTGAATAATAGCGGTATATTCAAAAAAGAAAATCATAATTGATTTTATCGGACTGGTAAAACTTTAAAAATAAATGCAATCCGCGAATATTAGTTAAAGTATAAATTAGTAGCGGAAGAAGAGTTTAAAAAGTAAAATCAATAATTAGAGCAAGGCTGTCATGGCTGTGGCATTTTCTCACGATTGGTGTTAAATGCGCATGAATGTGTGTACATGTATTTGATATGTGCTTATGAGAGGAAGACTTCAATATAACAGCATGAACAACCTTAGGTCATTTGCAAACTCATATCAAAACGTAAGTCGCGTTCAGTTGCAAACGTTTTACTTATAAAAGACAAAAAGATAATTGCACAGCAAAATAATAACGTGAAGAATAGCAAAATAATTATATGGATTATGGTCGTATATGATGTTGCCACTGTCGTCATCGCCGTCATTTGCTGCAAGCTTCGGCATGTTTGGGATTTGGTGTGTGGCATGTGTTCCTCGCCTTTTGGTTTTTAAAAATTTATCGTTCCAAATATGAAATAAATATAAATGTATGCGGAATCGGTTGTCCATGCTTCAATTATATATTTTGCCACTTGAGCGCTTCAAGATGTTAAATAAATATACAAATATTTATATATATTGTGTATACATATATATATATATATAAATATGCCTATGTGTGTATTTAAATATACAGTGAATAATGACACATCATTAAGCGCTCAGAATGGCAAAATATGTCAGTAAGGTACGAATAACCGATTTTGGTGATTAGAATTAACAGGCCTCGAATAAATGGAGAAAAATTAAAATGACTATAGCTTCGAAACAATTACAAAAAAAGGAAACATCCAAGCCAAAGAGTGGTGAAGTGGCAACCGTGTTACATATCCATACTACGAGTACATACATTTGAACGTGCATGAATGGATATATATAGCAGACATGGTTAATCGTGTCCATTTCGATGTGTGATACTTTCGTTACAGAGCTGACAATCACCCAATCTGCACTTGAAGAACTGTGCAGTTTTGGTGAAGCTCTGAGTAATTAAAAAGTAAAAAATGCAATATCTTCAATATTTACTGCCATAGGTTTATATAGTTCTACACTTACATCACATTTCCTTTGGAGGTAAGTAGAAGAAGTGAACGATAAATACATATAAAAGTGCGTTTAGCTTTCGAGAGAGAGAGAGAGAGAGGACAATATCAAATCAAAATTTGCAAATACCAAACAATCTCGAAAATCAATTGTTGAACTGTGGGATAGAATACAAGCATTCACGTTGACTGGGGAAATCGATGTAGGAGCATTATAACAAGATAGGTACTTTATCTAGATCGACCAAAATCTGGCTCAATTTTCGTATTTATAGCGCAAATAATTGGTGCTCTTTTTATCGTCCAAATTTAATGGGGAACGTAGATATACCGCTTTAAATAATCATTATTTCTCACTAGAGCTTGGTACTAGGTAAAGTGATAGAATGTCGATTTTTGGTTTAACTTTTTCTTGATATTTATGAATTTTTGGTGTGCGGCTTCGTAAAAAAACAGTGCAGCGTTTTTCTCAACTTTACTTTTATCTTTTAAAGCGGCCATCCAATATTCTGAGCTATTTTTTTTTTCATTATTATCCATATTCACGTCAAAGAACTTTACTTTGGTCTCCGAATTTCATTTCATACAGGGTGCGCCTTCTAGACCTTTGGTATTTCAACATTGAATAACTCTGTCGGTATTTAGCGCTTTCGATTGAAAACAATCGTTCAGTCAGAAAACCGTGCGTGCCACCGTAATAGATAAGCGTCACAAGTACATGTGCAAATACATATGTACATACAATCATGAAAAATCTTAATTAGAACTTTGTAATATTCTTTAACGTCCTTTCTAAAATTTTGAGTTTAGTATAATATATATATAATAAAAAAAGTACAAGATAGCCACTGCAACATTGCTCCAGGACTGCTAGTTGAAAGCTATTAAATAAATAATTTAAATTTCAAAGATAGACTTCAATAATAGCAAATGTAGGTCCAGATCATTATATCAGTGGACCTTTTTTACTTTTTATATTGTTTCTTCAAATATAATAAATTATTAGCTATCTTTCTGATCAGAGTGTCTGCTAAAAAATTTTAAGTTTTGTGAAATTATCGAAATGTTAGAAATTAATTCCTCCACATCCTTTTTCTAATATGTCTTGGTTTAATCCAGTCGACGGTCGCGGTGGCCGAGTGGTTAGAATTGCGTACTGCCATTCGGAAGGCTCGGGTTCAAATCCCCGTGCGAACTACATCTAAAAGTTATAGAAAATTTATTTTAATAAATAATTAAGCGAAATTTTCCAATTGCGGTCGCCTCTCGGCAGGGAATATCAAATAAAAAAAGCTCATAAAAAAACCATCAGCCGTTCGGAGGGGTCTCAGTACAAACTGTAGGTCCCTCCAGGACTCCAAAACCACAAAATGGAGAAGGAGCTCGGCAGAAAATCGCTTCAGCGGTTACAAAGCGCCAATTATATATATAATTCAGAACTTAGCTCTACAATACTGGTTTAATTTTGAATTTCTATTAATCCAAGGTTGTCTGTATCTGTGTGCATAAGGCGTTGTTGCAATCACTGCCGTCACCTGCTACAAAAATATGATCTCACAAAATTGCAATGAAATCGATCGCCATATTCATTACCATGCCAATCACACAACAACGCCCACATCGCAAATTAGTGGCATTGGTAGCTGTATCAACAGCAGCAGTCGACGTATCTTGAATAACAACCATATATGCGGAGCGCGTTGTCGCTCGTTGTTAAGCTATCAGCAGCATCAGTTACAAATAGTAAGTAGTACTAACGTTATAAGTGTGAGTTGCTGTAGTGATACTGGGTCATCTGGGGAAAGATATAGTCCACATCCGAATGAAATGTTTCTGAAGCATCACGGCAAATTATCAACCCAACAAAGAAGCGGTTATGATGATACCACGAAATGTTGTTTGCCGCCGCCATCGCCAGCGCCAATTAGTGACCGATATATAATAGGCGTGACGTCACCACAGAATGACAAAATTTGTGACGCACTGAGTAATGTTAGCCGCCTGGATATACATACGGCATATTCCAACTATGATGGTGGCGACAATAGCACCGTAAATGGCAGTGTACACCCGCTACAAGGAAACGTTCAACAACAACAACAGCATCATCAACATATTAATCTTTCTGCACCACCACCCTCATCGTCTACGTTAACATTACCACAGGTTTCAGGAAATTTTGTCCCTAATTTAACGCAAAAATACGTCAGTAGCATGCAACAGTGCTCCATATCGGCGAATTCGCGATTTCGATTATCCGATGGACATCGCGAGGTGCCTTCTCCTAAATCGATGACATTAAAAAGCTCACCAAGTACGGGCAACCATAACGTCTTCGCGACAGTACCAGCCGCAGCACTTTCACAGCCGCAGCCTTCCAACACTACACGATACGTCTCTTCAGCACATTTTTTGACAGAGAACACTCCAATGGTGACGAGCGACACTTACACATACCTTTCATCGACTGTGCATACGCCGGTTAAACGCTACGTACCGACCCCGCCGCCACAAAATGAGCTATACGCTGACATATCGATGCAAGCGTCTACACATGTGTCACAGTTACAAATGAACAAATGCGCCAATAGCACAGGTGCAGCAAGCGGAGGTAATCGGCATGGTCCAACTCAACATCTAAATATGCTTCCCTACCGCTTCCACATGAAATGCTGCTCTAACTATTTGACGAATTCACCTGTAATTCAAACAACCGATACAAATACCATGACATCATGCGTCATCGAACATCGACCAATCTCCGTAGTCGAATATTACGCCACATCTCCGCGAACGCAATCAACGTACGGCAACAATAATCACGTTCATAACATTCACAGCAGAGCCCTTAAGAATGTGTGCACAAGTTACGACAACAGTAATATTATGACTAATGATATGGGCAGTACGAAATCCACCGCAATAATTTTATTGCACGACCAACAAATGCAAACTGCTAGTCATGCGACAACGATGTCTAAGCTACATGCCATTTCATCTTGCCAAGCGGCAAAGACCTCCACGCCGTGCTCTTCGGCGCTATCTGGGGCATCAGGAGGTTCTACTATAATATCCACAAGATCGTCTACAGCGTCATCTCTCGCTGTTGGTGGCAGTAATTGTAGCAATATGTATGTAGTAAGCGGTGGGCGTTTAGCAGGAAGCGGGGTCGGACGCACTATTAACTCAAATGTGATAAGCGACTACTTTCATCGCGCGCCAAGTATAGAATACATAAACGCATCTACTACGGCAATGCCAAATAGCGTGCGGATTTGTGCCACTCCCGTCAATCAATTCGAGGTTATTGGCGATGGTGGTAATGGTGGTAATCTAAGTTCTGGAGAAAGTGCAGCTACAACTTGTCTGCATTGCAACACGGTGCGACGTACAACCGGAGTTCATCAAACCACACAAACAACGGGTCCAATCAGTCCTTTACCCATACAGCAGGTTATGGAGGTCGGTGGTGCAAGTGGCGTTGCACTAAGCAGTTGTGGCAGTTTTTTACAAAGCGCACTCGATCAAGCACCGCTGACACCATCTACCAGCAAATCGCACATCTCCCCATTATTACCATCAACAGCAGCGCAAAACACACGTATATTGTTTCCCAGTAAAGTGGAGGGAGTCGCCAGTAATGCAGTAATTGTAGATCAACTACAATTACAGCAACCGGGTGAAAAACTGTATGTTACGCAGAAGACCCAGCAGCATTCTAAGAATGTGATAACACAGGGCACAATTACTGAACATATGGACGTTTTTGGTAGCGGGTGCAATCAGCAGCAACTACAGCAAACTCCGGACAACAACCGGCAATTAGTGCAATATTCTTCTCCGCAGCTGCAACAACAGTCACCAGCGCAACAACTAACCATACAAAAACAGCAAAAAATTCAAATTTTCTCACGAAAAAAACGTTTTAGTCGGTATATCCGCAAAGAAATAGCACGATTCTTTGGTGTACACGTCAGTACGGAAGCTGAAGAGTTTGCTATTTGGCAAAGCCGTCAGCGACGATTAGCTCTTCGCCGTTTCGGTGCATTGAAACCAGACGTTCAATTGCAAGTCGAATTGAACAACGGCAATTCCGGTGATATAAATAACCGTGTTAATTGCCATGGTGGACCTGGTAATGTGGGTACTAACCAACATTATCATCATCCCCCATCAGAACGCCCTGATATATTGCCCGCTCAGGATACAGAGGAGGACGATTCATCAATCGAATACTTGGCACGTCAACGTCATTTTTTATATGTTGTAGGCGATCATGTCGAGAGAAAAGCTAGTGTAGCTAGAATGATTATGTCGAGCTTAACGTTCATCGTACACACTCTAAGTAGTCGCCAGCCTCGTAGCTATAGGCAGTGGTCACGCAGCTTTGCACCCGCTCATGTGAATCACATCAATAATATGGAAAATTCGGGCGACATTTCTGAGGGATTATCAGCACTGCAAGAAGACGAAGTATTTTTCGACTCTGCAGGCACAGATCATACACCCAGTTCCAGTATTAATAATACTGGGAATATTGCAGCTGGTGGGATTTCACAGCACAGTAATGCTTTAAGATCTGGAATTGGAGTCGGAAGAGGTCCTATAGTTCCCAGCAACATCGGATTGAAGATGGTAGAACATCATAGACAAATATACGTGGGTGAGCGCATTCACGGTTGGCGTACTTCAGCTGTAATAGGCGGTGTCATCAACGGCACTCACGTCAGCGCAAGCGAACAAGTGGCTGCCACTGCTTTATTACAAACAAATAACAATAGCAATGGCGGAGGACAACAAACAAGTAATTCCTGTGGTGCCAGCAGCTCATATCAACACAAGAAAGCGGCGCTAACAAATCATATTGTCGCACCCACATCCTCACTGTCAAACGTACAATTGTCACACGGAACACGTGGCAAACGCATATCAGCGCAACTGCTTGATGGGGTACTTGAAAATTCGCGTCGCCCACTACAACGCAAAATAAAAAACCTTTCAATTAACGATCTGGATGACCGCAGCGATCACCGACCATTTTTTACTTACTGGATCAACACGGTGCAGATATTAGTGCTGTTGTTGTCGCTTTTTTGTTACGGTATTGGACCCATAGGAATCGGTGTCGAGCAAAAAACTGGACAGGTGCTAGTAACCAGTCTTAGTTTACAAACGGTACAGCACTCTGAACAACGAAATGTGTGGATCGGGCCTAGAAATAACGATTTAGTACATATGGGTGCAAAATTTGCTACCTGTATGCGAAGCGACATACGTATTATGGATGTGATGCTAAAGACGCGACGACAGGAACGCGAATCAGCTTGCTGCATACGTAATGATGATTCAGGTTGTGTTCAAAGCTCACAAGCAGAATGTTCGGTGCGTGGACTATTTCCAACTGTAAGTAAATTACCTAAAATTAATTATTTGTATAAAATATAAATACATGGGTATAATTTTTAAAACAAACCTAATTTCTATACACTTCTAGAAATCTATATCAACGTGGAAGAAGTGGTCACCAGGTGAGTCCGGGCCAGGTGGCCGAATCTCTGGTTCTGTTTGTGGTCTGGACCCAAAATACTGTGATGCACCAGCATCTATAGCACCCTACGAATGGCCAGACGATATAACAAAATGGCCTATTTGTCGCAAAACTAATTCCTTCTCGCACCGTTTTCGATACAAAGATCATACAGCGGAGCATATGGTATGTGAAGTGATAGGTCATCCGTGCTGTACCGGAGTCTACGGTGAATGTCGTATTACAACACGCGAGTACTGTGATTTTGTCAAAGGTTACTTTCACGAGGAAGCATCGCTGTGTTCCCAGGTGGGCGTACAATTTGAATATATTATCTTAATGCACTCATTCATTCCAAAGAAAATTCTTGAACTATTCATGAACACTATAAATGATGAGCAATAAGTTTATGTTAGAATAGAAAGAAAGGGCAAAAATACTATTTGTAGGCATCCAAAAAAAATTTGACTAAAAAAGCCACACACAATGATATCAAACACTATTATTGCAAATAAATAGGGATAAAATGTATGGGAAGTGATGTTATAAATTCAATGCAAAATACTTTTCTAATTATTATTGTTGACGACATGAACCTCTTATGTTTTCGGAGTAGTCGGTGGTCGTCCCCCTCAGGTGGCAACGCCGCAATGCGCTTACCAGAGAGAAATGTTGGGCTGCCCAATGTCACCACATATTTGTAAACCAACAGCACCCGCAATACTTCTTTTTGTGTAACTACCCACTTAAAGTGGCCATCAGGGCCACAATCAATTAATCATTTTTCAAACCCCAACGCGTCTACACGGCGAATCCCGTACCGCTCCGCGATCATCACTTGCATTTTCTTTAATTATATCTATTTCCCTTTTGTAAAAAGAAATAATAACACCTAATTCACCTATTCTTACTTTGTGTGTAAAATTAAAAATTTTGATAATATGAATATACCAATCTATTTATATATATTTATATCTGTAAATTGTAATACTTGAATTACCAATATTGAAAACACAAATTTATAACGTCCATAAAACCTAAATCTTTTATTTCGATATAAACGGACTCATTTTACCCATTCAAACCCATACAAAAGTATACAATTATATATATTATTTGTTTCTTTCAGATCTCTTGCTTGAACAACGTATGTGGCATGCTCCCGTTTATATCTGTGGAGGTTCCTGACCAATTTTATCGTCTATTCACATCCCTCTGCCTGCACGCCGGAATTATACATTTGGCCATAACTATCGCCTTTCAGCACTTTTTTCTGGCTGATCTAGAGCGTTTAATTGGTCCATTGCGCACAGCTATTGTATATATTGGCTCGGGTTTGGCTGGTAATTTGATCAGCGCCGTATTAGTGCCGTACAAGCCAGAAGTAATAATATATGAATATGTGATAATTTAGTAAGATTATCTTAAATTAATATACAAAATTTGCTATTTAGGTTGGACCATTGGCATCATTGTCCGGTGTGATTGCGTCGCTGGTAGTTTTGCTCATATTGATTCACTGGAAGCACTTGCGAAAACCTCACCTTGCCCTTTTCAAACTGACCTGCATAGCAGCGCTACTTTTTGGTATTGGCACACTTCCTTGGCAGTTGAACTTTGCGGGCCTCTTGGCGGGCATATTTTGCGGTGTCTTTTTGACCATCGCATTTGTGCCATTTGTCAGCATTACAAAATATGGAAGGAAAGCAAAGGTCTCCAAATTATTATTCGTATATGTAGTTATTAAGGTGTAAGATAGATGTGAAAGTCAACAGTAAACTCAAATTTGGAATGCTAACAGTCTTTTAGCACTCATCAAAAACAATGGTCAAAAACACAGGTTATTCAGAAAAGAAATGTCGATCCTGTAAAGCATAATTTTTTAGATTTTTGCTGAAGTGGAAGAGCTTAAACAGGATCTCTACAGCAGTCGTACAGGCTACGCCACTTAATTTTTTTGGTACCGGGAGAAAAAAGGGGCTAAATGACCGAATTTCAAAGTTTTTCGGTTGGCCTGTGATATATGATTCAGTATACTAAAGATGAAACGGAATTTAAATTTATATAATTTTCTCGTAATGAAATTATATTATTTATAACGTATTACAAAATTTATTGAGAGTTCTACCACAATAGAAATAGTAAAGCACTACGAAGCGCAGTCATATATATCGGCTCTCGCACTTCTCGTCAATGCGGCAAGAGCAGATATAAATATGTCGGCCTGAGGCGCGAAATGGGTTGAGTTTCAAGGTTGAAGTTAGTGCAAATGTACTAGACCGTCTCCACAACCATGTCTGAAAGTTTTAAAATTTTTAATCAAGCGCTTATTTTGGAGAACAGCTATTTCTAACATGTTCGAACTTAGTTCTGGTGCTTACCAATACGACAACAATGTAGTCGGTAAAATTTTAAAAATCTTTTAAAGTAAAGTTTATAAGCGTCTACTGACTTCTCTTTACTTTGACCTAAATGTCAAATAACTTTGTCCCAACTTTCTTATTATATTTCCGTTTGAATTGCAAATTTTCAAAGCTCTACGTCTTCAAATATTTTGCGAAAAAACGCATGTTTAAGAACCCACCCTTGCTTTATGCATCCACGTGCAGCCTTCAAATATCAACCTGCAAAACTTAAAGACTTGTAAATTATGTGTAGTGTAGATATTTACACCTGCTTTAAGGTCATCACATCCAAATTTTTTCCTGAGCTTAGTAAATTTTAAATTTTTAAAGATAACAATTGGTTTATTTTCTTTTTTACCATGAAATGCTTAGATAAATCTTATTTGGTCCTGCGTCATCTTCCATTTGTTTATGTATTCAGTATTATTGATGACTTTCTACATATTTCCAACGGAAGTCGCAGCGCTAAATGTGGGTGGAGTTTTGAGCACAAATTTCAATTCGAATTCGAGTGGCAGCGGCAATGTTGCGGACAGCGTAAGTTTTGACGTTGGGGTCGGAGGCATCGAACTTGGCAGTAGTCATTTGTCTGACATTAGTAACGTGCCTGCAAATATCAACAATGAAATGGGCAGAAATATAAATGGCGATGTAAAAAGTAATCGTTTTCCATCGATGCAACAGAAACAACAGTACTACTATCGCCATCGTTCCAGTGACATTATAACAAGTGGAGCGGTAGGTATATATGTACCTATGTATAATATACATAAATATCCATGATAAAAATTAACAAGCGAATGTCACAGATGTTAAATCGAACAGCAGTAGTTCGGATCCAAATACGTTTGTATTTATGTAGAGCTGTGTCCCAATCTGTTGAAAATTGTAAACTTTTTCAGCCAACAACTACATTTTCCGAGTGCAAACGTAAGAATTTTATCTAGCCCATAAAAAATTAAATGCCACTTGCCATCCAATATAAAATCCAAATAACTGCATATCCGCAAGATCATCCGTGAACGTGCAGGAAAAAATATTATGTATATGACTTCCTCATGAGTCTTTATTTTGCTTAGGTTTAAACTTACAGTTTCATTGTTGTTTCCAACTCATCTCACCATTGGAAAAAATATACCGATCGGCACACAGCCTAAGAACTAAATAAAATATGATTTGAGAGTCGTCACAAATTGGTTTTATTAATTTAATGTGGATGCCATCAAGTCACTGGTTTCACTGGCCATCTCTCATCGGAATAACAATTTGGTTAAAGATCTGATAGCGCTTAGATTTGGAAGCCCTTATAACGGTTGACGAAATTAATGTCAAAATATTAACACAACACAAAAGATATGCATTTTCTTATATTTTTCTTTAAGAATATAATTTTGCTTTGATTGTATTTTGCAGCTTTTACCAAAAGAACCTTTACAAACGCAGGGAGAACAGGACCACGATATGGCGTTTTATCATTATACTTACAATATTAATCGTAGCAATAATCAAATTAATGGAAAATTTAAGAATAATCGCAGTAGTAACAGAAGTACCAGTTTTGCGAATTATTACTACCAAGATAGCATCAAAAACTATACAAACAGAAACAGCAGCAAACCACACAATAATGTAGATGACAACAAAAAGGAAGACATAGGTACCGAAGCGGATGGCAGTAGTAATAGCAACAACAGAACCTTAAATTCATACAGCATTAACAATAGCCTCACAGCCAAAAATACTAATGTCGCAAGAGAAAGTGGCAACGGTACTAATAACGATGTAGCTGATGTAAGGGCAAGAGCTGCGAAATGGTCGGCGGCACTGCATTTGTCCAACAAAAAATTCAACCAAATAAACTTTGGAATACAAGCTAGTAATCTCAGTTTCGCAAGAGTTAGTGGCGAAAGCAGAAGGAATCGGAGCAGAAGCTCCAGTTTCGAAAGCCAACAGTTGATACAGCAACAGCAACATCCGGAAATTTTACATTCATATTGCAAATATGGAGGATCCAATGTAAAAGTTACTGACACGAGCTCGCACTCCACCAATGAGCATACAAAATTTTCCGAAATCTTAAGCTCGATAAATGGCAACGGCAATTTTGAGAATTCTGGTGGTGAAATGGACGAAGACAGGGAAATGTTATATAAAGTCGAAGAGGGTATGGAGAAGAAAGGCTTCAGCCAAAGGCCGCCAATCAATTTCCCTACCACAAAGCCATTAGAAAATATATCTGGGAAACGAATAAAGAATTACTCTAGCAATACCTACATTAGCGATTTATATACAAGTTCTGCATACAAAATAGATTACGTAGTCAATAAAGTATTTTTGGCACCAATAAAATTGGCGACCATTCAAATACCAGCAAGAAAGTCTTATATAAATTTTATAAAAGATCCAGCGAACTCAACGGTCACTAATAAAATAAAAATAAATTCTGATAAAAATAAGCCAGAGATCACACCTTTAATGGATGAAACATCGGCGCTAATGGGTGTTACGCAACAGCAGAAACAGCAAATACGAGTAACATCAGCAGTTCATGCAACAAACAAACACCACGAAAATCAATAACCCCAACCAATCAGCAATATACGCCAATGGAATGTAATACACAGGACAAGTATACTCTCCTCGGATTAAAATCATATGTACCAAACAATACTAATTTTAGAGGTAAACTCGAGGCAAAACAACGATAGAGAAAATATAACATTGTAAAATATTTTTAGGGACACCATAAATTTGTACATAAAACGCGCTCTTTTAAAAACGCTAGTGCTCCATTCACCCATGAAATATGTACTGCCATTCGTCTCTCTATTTGTTGGAAAAACATCAAACAAAAACAAAAACATCGATTGCACAAGCAAAATTTTGATTGTCGGGCTCAACATGAATAGTCCTAATAGTTTTTGCGACCTGTGCCATTAATTTTTGTTATACACTTAGCATTCTTATCGTAAAACTTATTCTTGCAAAATGTGGGAGATAAATATACTTAATTTTGAATATAGGATATTTTTTCTATCGTAGAAAAGTTAACCTTTTTAAGTGCTCTCATAAGGTAAAGGGTTTGGCATTGTTGTTTTCTTTGATTCTATAATACGAAACTCTTTCAAAATGAAGTTAAGTCTCTCTATTATTTACTTTGATCTACCACTTAGTCGCTAAACAATCGCATCAATATTTTTCAAAACAAAAAATAGTTAACGTATATTGTTAGATGCTCATGAAACTTAACTTAAAGAAAAACGACATTTGATTTAATATACATGTTTAATATATACTTTATATACCCATCCGAATTATTTCAGATATGAAATTAAGACTCCAATAAACATAGCTCCAATTATTATTTTTTTAGCTAAAAGCAAAAAACAATAATCCTTAGTAGCCTAAGTTCTTAAAGTAATATCCATATTTGTATATGTATGTATACCTATGTATATCTCGGAAATGTAACTTTTCTTTGAATATAAAAATAACACCTCCTTTTGGAAAACCCTGTACTACATCTGTTTGAGTGCTACCACTTACTGCAACGTATCCACCGCATCTTTCAATTATTTCTACCACTGGTGGCATTATGGACGTTGAGACGAACTGTAGTTCACATTTTGGTAAGTTTTTGGTATTTTACTGAACAACGGAAGTAAAAGTTTAACAAAACATAAGATTAACATTGAATTCACACGTACATATGATGATTGGGCACCGCATTCTATTTTGATTGTTATTAGTTTTCGGACACTCTTTCATTCACTTGGAGCTCATATTATATTATTATGCTGCGTTATGCGTTATGTGTTATGCGTACACATACACACAAATGTACATGCAAACTATTAACAAAAAAAGATTTTACAATCAAGTCGCTAATTACAGGGAGTGGCCCAAGGTTATCAGAAGTATTAAACTAAGAAGTGATCACAATATAGTGAAAGAACATATACTCTATCAAAAATCCAAATTCGATATAACTAACTATTGGCTAGATTAAGTATGTGCATATGAGCGTAATGCAAAAAATTAAGTTTATTCCGAAGATGAACGTGCTACGCGCTCTTAGTATTCAAGGTAAGAGCGAACCATACTCCAATGGTACCTACAATAAGTATATACATCTATCCATCATATGAGAGAAGGACGAAATGTCACTTATACCAACCATTTTGGTAGGTCCTAGTCAAATTTTCATGCATGCAACGAGTAACCAGTGCCAGTTTGAGAGTAATTGCGCAAATGTGCCTATGTTTGTTTCAACCTATAGATAGCCATAATAATTAGGAGTATTTTCAACTTGATTATTTTGATAATAATGCTTCTTTTACATTAGTAATTTATTACAAAACATAATAATCTTTAAATGTGGAAAATAGTGGTGGAAAGGTAAATTTCGCAATGGTTAAAAAGTTATTAAAAAATAAAGTTACATTTTACACAAAATACAACCAAACTATAAATGATTGGCTAAAACGATGTAGCCGTAATGGGTAAAATTATCTATAAAATAACGATACAAATGCAAATACAGCAAAATATATTATATATATAGAAATTGTTTCGAGAAAATACAGGGTAATGCGGATCCAGAGGATTTATTTATAATCCGTACTCTCGTTTTCATAAATAGTCTTACCAAATGGCACAGAAAACTTCAAGATCAGGAATATGTACGTCTTTACCCGCGGAGACCTTTGAATTTTATTGACGCTTTATAACCGCTGAAACACTTCCTGGTCGAGCTTCTTTCAATTTATGGTGTGCATCTTGGTAGTTTATTCAACAAATGGTCCCACGTACAGTTTATCCTAGGCCGCATCCGAACGTCTGATGGCTTTTTAGGAGGAACTTTTTTTTCATGTCAGAAATGCGCTCGGAAAGTTTGACATTCCCTGTCACTAACTCATTCAATTAAAAATTGTATTTCAATACTTTTAGATATTTGTCTCGCCAGGGCTCGAACCCTAGCTTTCCGAATGTCAGTACGCAATGCTAAATGTGGTAGTGTTTTAACCGGTTAGTACTGTTGAAAAACTAAATAATATCTATTTGGTTATCGTTACACTATTAACCATTCTGTTTCATTCTAAGCACTCGTTTTTATATATTTGTAAACAATATTATAGTGAACAATATTTTCCAGGTAGCTTCGTTGCCAGTTATTTATTTCAAATTTCGAAATGCCGGCCTTCGGTCACGCTTGAAAGAAATTAGCCTGGGCAGGAACAACACAGGATCCGCCTTCAAGAGTTTTTTCACGAAACTTTTTTTATAAATATAATAAATAGATTTTAATTTTTATTAAGTAAACTACGAGGCCTTGTTGTTTGTATGAATCGAATATTTGTTATACAACACAGAAAAAATGGTAGAAGTGACAGCTGTTTCGGAGATGACCACATCTCCTCATCAGACTTCTTATGGCAGGGATCGAACCAACGGATCCTGACTTAACAGCCGAGTGTTCTACCACTGCGCCAACATCAGCCATATAATCTGTTGTTGTATTATTCAATTCATTATTAATCAACAACTATACTATTAAGTGCGCTAATTGAGCCGCTATTTTCTTAACAGCTTGGTTAGTGTGTTTTGTTGAAATCCTCTATACTTTTAGGCGTTAACTGACTGAAAAATGTATAGGAAGAATTAAGGTATCAGGTTCACCTTGTATGTTTTATAATTTGTTTTTGCGGCCATGCTATGTATTAATTTTTATTTAGTAAACTACGAGGCCTTGTTGTTTGTATGAATATGAATATTTGTTATACAACAAAGAAAAAATGGTAGAAGTGACAGCTGTTTCGGAGATCGCGACATCTCATGAGATTGTTGTATAACAAATAGTCAATTTATACAAACAACAAGGCCTCGTAGTTTACTTAATAAAAATTAATATATAGCAATGCCGCAAAAACAAATTATAATAGATTTTGTTTGGCATATTTTTTGTTATTTTCAGATTATTTTATAAATTACGGCGAATTCGTTTTATCTAAGAATTTGTAGTGTGTTTGTTTGCAATGTATAGAAAAACTTCTTTTTTTTAAAAATGCAACTTAAGATGCTAATAACTTTTAAACTGTTGCACACCTATTTCGAAAAAAACCAAAAGATTGTTCAAGCAAAAGGCGCTATTCTTCACAATTACCTCATTATCCAATAGTTTTTAATTAAAATAAGAATGAATTATATAAAAAATTACCAATTTATCGTACGAAAAATTAATGTTCGAAATAATCATTTGTTGAACTAAATATAGAAACGGCATAGAAAATATCACATGTACCTTTGGCTTCCTTAAATTTTTTAAAATTTAATTTAATTGGGAGTGCAATTTAATTGAACATTGTTGTTAGATCTTTCAAGACTTCCATAATAGTGTATCAATTCCGGGCGTTGCAAAGTTTAAGCAAGAGAAATTATAGAACTGTCGGTGAACTTCCAAGCAATTTGAACATCTAATATGGTTACATGCGTTAAAATCCATAAGACAAGTTCAATGGTTAAACTGCATTCGTGAACGGGTTGAAAATATGGAAAATTGGGAATCATGGAAAATATGGACAGCGTGAAACAAAATGTTCTTGGTCATTATTTGTAGAAATCTTTAGATTTACATTTGTGCGTTTTTGTTGATAAAACTTAAATTTTTTATTAAAATTTTAATAATTCATTTTCTACAGAACCGACAAGACTAAAGTCCATTTAGGCTTCAAAGGCTTTCTGCGCTCCAATGCCTTTCAACAGCCTCCAATGCGAGGTACAGCAATTTTTAATGTGTCTTAGCTACAGATAGTTAATTTATTATGTTAAGAAGTTTCTTTTGTAATTCAGTTTCAGTGCTACGAATAAACACTATCTTTGTAGGAAATGCTGAAAATTCCCGATGTTGTCAAAATCGATACATGATGGTCGGACTTGAACCAAAAGTAATGGTAATATTAGTAATGTTATCAACTAATATTACTCCCAATATTTTGATATTATGTTAAGATTGATTATTTGAAGCCAACGGTATTGTTATATCGTTTTTATTTGTCAAACTTCTATACAATAGATTTTGGTTTAAACTATATTTAGTTCAATTGTTCAATGTTTTTAGTAACTAACCATTTTTTTTTAAGATTCGCTGAACTATATCAATGTCATCGCATAATTCGTACAGCTATATAGTCAACAGCCGCTACTGTTTTCTAATTCGCTGAACTATATCAACGTCATCGCATAATTCGTACAGCTGGTTATTCCATCATCTGCGGTATTCGCTGTATAAAGGCCCATAACACGTTCGCAAAACATTTCTCTCGAAGGCTCCTTAGGCCGACTCATCAGATCTCAACATCGTCCACGCTTCTGCACCATATAGTAGGACGGGGATGGTACGGGATGTGCAGAGTTTGATTTTTATTCGTTAAGATAGCAATTTACTTATCAGTTGACTACTCAGTCTAATCGGATGCAGTCTTGGTAGTCGTGATTCTCCGTTGGATTTCAAGGCTGGCATTATTATTGATGCTAAAGCTGGTCCCTAAACAGGTGAACTCGAATTTATGACTGCCAAAAGTGACGAGGGAGTCGTGTCGCCAAAGCGATGACTGTTTGTTTGATGACCGAAGATATTTCATCTTGTTCCCGATCACTGCTAGATCCATTCTCCTGGCTTCTTTATCATGGAGAAGGGAAAGCTAAAAGCTCTGTCGTTAAGGCTTTTAATCTCAAAATTATCGGCATACGCTAGTAGTTGTATACTTTTGTAAAAGTTTTTAACGGTGTAGTTAGCTCTGCAGCTCTTATTATTCCCTTCAGCATAAAACTGGAGAAACCCCACGATAAATAGTCATCCTGTCTGTAACCTCGTTTTTATCAAACAGCTCGGGGAGATCTTTTCCAAATCTGACTACCCAGCCGGTGTTGTCCAGCATCAGTTTATACAGCCGTATAAGTTTTGCGGGGATACGAAATTCAGACATAGCCGCGCAGAGGCAGCTCCTGTTCGTCCTATCGAAGGCTACTTTAAATTCGATGGAAAAGTGATGTGTATCGATTCTTTGCTGTTGTTGTTGTTGTTGTTGTAACCGCAAAATTATTCCCCAAAGTACTTTTTGGGGAATGTTGCGGGAGTGACAGTCCTTGGCCGGATAAAAATCCGGGAATTATTGGATTTTAGTCGCCTCTTACGACAGGCATGCCTTACTGCGGGTAAATTCTTGAGCCCCTAACCCGCAGGAGGTATCGATTCTTTGCTTGTTGTTGTTGCTATTGTTGTAACCGCAAAAATATTCTTCAAAGTACATTTTGCGGAATGTTGCGGGAGTGACAGTCCTTGACGGACAAAAATCTTGGTCGTTCCGGTACAAATACCCGACGGTCAGAAAAACTATTATAGTCGCCTCTTACTACAGGCATGCCTTACCGCGTGTAAATTCTTGAGCCTCTAACCCACAGGGTGTTTTCCAAGGCATTCTTTCGCATGGCGAATGTCTGGTCCATAGTGAACTTATGAAGTAAGTAAGTAAAGTTAGTCCCCTCGTAATTTGGCAGACTGCCAAATTTTCCGACGGTTGTGCAGAAAATACCTTCTTTTCCCACGCTGGCATTGAAGATGCAGCGCCTGAGAAGCTCACAAGAGGCAATCATTTACATGTCATGGGTCTCAAATCCTTCGCACGACGGCATGGTATTCGCCAACTCTACTTGGCCGAAAGCTGTAAGCTTCTTGAACCACGTGCTAAAGAATCATTTCTGGCCAGACCATGTGAAACTTTCCTTTTACGTGAACTTCTACTCATAGTCCCCTAGTTAAAAAAGAATTAATGATGAAGCACCATAAAAATAAAAATAAAAGCGCTATGAACTGACACCGAAGGCCCACCAATTAAAAGTGTGAAGTGTAAAAGGTTATGAGCATATAGTATAGAACAAGGATTTAATCAGTAATTGTAATTTGTACAGTAAGATTACTAATGGAAAATTTCTATTTTTCATACTGTTTTGAGGTTACGGTGCAAGTTATACAAACTTAGAAAAAGTACATTTGACCTACGAAGTGTCAAATTTTCTGTTCAATGAAGTCGTGTATAAGAAAACTTGAAAAGTCTTAATTATGAGCAAGATATTTTTGGATATTTTTGGTCTACAATTTTTTAGGCAGTTGTGAGTTTCCGATTTAATAATAACTTATATCTTTTTTTCACTTAAGACGATCTTCCCGTTTGTAAATTTTTTTATACACAATACTTATGTGCGTATTACTAACATTCAAAATATTTCAGATGACCTATTTATATGTTTGGACATTTTTTGTTTTCCTTATTTCTTTCTATTTGACATACGAAGCTTTCCTTAATTTTTCATGATTTTAATGAGAGCTTGAAAACGTGCATCACATTGATATAGATTTGCTGAGCGATTTTTTTGGCTTAGAAATACTGATTTTAATCCTAAGCAATATTTTTCGATTGAAAATAAATATTGTAATATATATATATATTTATAATTTCTTTCTAGCAATCAGTTGTGTATTGGCTTAGCCATTAGGGTGTTCATTATAAAGATGATTTTTGGCAGTATCGAAGTTCCCGCTACTAAAATTTTTCGTTAAATTAGTATTTGACAGAATTTTAAGTGTTCAGGCCACCTTAAAACAAATACAAATCAAATAAATTTAAAACGTAAAGCACATAAAGTGATTTTAAAATCACGTGATCAGTTTGTATACTTAGAAATAAATATTTAAAATGAAGAAAGTGATAAAATATAAAAAGCTATGCATCTTTTTATATTCTAATAGAATATTTAGTTAAATTAACACACGCAATGCACAAATAACAAATGCTGGAACACATTTTTTTTAATTTCCCGCTTCCAATGCTATAGATATATACGAGTAAAGACATACATTCATACAAGTACATACAAATATTTTTTATTCGTATAAGAGGAAAAATCGCAGCAACAACGGAAAGACTATGTGTTTAAAGATCAGTTGTCAAAATGAGTATGAATAAGTACAAAATGATAAATTTACAGAGTAATAAATTATTAAAAATAAAAACCCGTTTTTGATCAAATAAAAAATTTAATTTACATCTTGGAAGATATTCATTTTCATCGTTTGGGGTGCGCGGTTATATAAAGTTTTGTTTATCAATATTATTTTAATTTATTGTTGCTTATATTAATCTAAATAACATAAAATTTAATTGTTAATTTTAAATTATTTCTGGTACAAGTTAGTGAGCGAAAGCACTATTTATTTGAATGAGTCCAATATTTTGTTATACAAAGAGAAAAATGGAAATGACAGCTATTTCGAAGATCACAACCTCGTTCTTTTACATTCACGTATAAAGGGTAAAGATTCAACAGCATTAATTGGAGAATCGAAGTCTTCTGCAACCTCGTCATATGTATATCTCGCACAGGGTAACGCCTGCATTCGTCATTATATTAAGTAATATAACGCAAACACTATCAAACAGAGCTAAAGTTTCAAGTGTGTAATGCAAAACTCGGAGTTTCAGTAAATATCTAAAGCGCGATTTTAAAATACAAAACGCTCTTTCTATACAATTTATGGCAGAACAATGTAGTTTGTTATACTTTTGATCTTTAGAGGTATTAGGTTGGCCAACTGTTGTAAGAAGCCACGGCTCTAAGGGATCGCTAATAAGCCAAGTTTCTCTCCGCTGTTGTACAGACATATCAGTGTGCTGACGTTCTGTAGCTCGCAAGTTGCCCAAAATACAGAGTCATGTGTTCCCCCGGGTAATTTGCGTTAAGAAAAGTGGAACATAAACGGTGTTCACATACCTCAGAAACAAAAGATTTAAAAATTAGATTGGCTAATACATACAACCAAATTTACTGCTTCGATATTGATACTATAAAACCGCTTTCAATTTGTTTATTCACTAACTTATTTTGATTTAGTTTTCCATTTAACAGAAAATGCACTTTAATATAAATATTTTGGTTTGTATATATGGTTATTACTTCTGAGGTTTCTACAAATACATAATTTGTGCCAAACCGTTTTGCCGTACAGAATAGCGAGCTAGATTTTCGTTGTTTGTAAATAACAAAGTTTTTTTTACATTATTCTTAGTTCTATTTACACATAGTAACGGATAAGAAGGAGGATAGGTTTGCAGGTGAGTATATTAAGGTAAGCTTCCATTTCCGTACGAAATCATGGAGAGAATTAAAATTTGATTTGGGAATTCTATTTATTTATGCAATTTTTCAATTTCTGAGAGGATACATTCTTAAGGAAATTAATTTCACATGAAGTAAGGATATTAAGTAGGGAAATATTTTTATAAATTTAATAATATTTAAGATTTTTTGTAAAGGTTTGTTTGTTTTATAATTTAATAATTATGTTCACCGAGTTACAATTTTAAGTTTTTATTTTAAAGTATATATAGTAAGTAAATATACGCATGTTAATGTTGTTGATGACTGGTATTTCAATTAAAATTTTTTTTAATCAAAGTGCATCATCACACTTTTGAATGTTGGTCGAACGCGGATTTGAAGCGTTCCGAATGGCTGTACGCAATGCTAACCATTCGGCTACCGTGGTCGCTGACATTTCCATCGGTTTCAGTAAATAATCGAGTAACGCGACCCAGTCTCCATTCGCAATGAACGCTAAATTGGTGGTGAAAAATCTTTAGGCTTTGCCATTTATTGATAAGAGGGATAAGAGGGAGCTCCACGTAGAATATGTCCCGGGATAAGTCGTAGCAAATCGTTTGGATCTTGAGACATACTGGGCAGGGGCCTGGGGAATTCTTCAAATGAGAGTTTTTGATTTGCTGCATTTTTAATCAAAAGAGTTTTAAAGCTTTAGAGGCCGCCCATGTGAGCAGAGTAGGGTGGTATGGAATTCTAAGAAAATCCATGCAAAATATTTTTCAACGATGTCCAAAGATGTTTCCTTTAGGAATTGAACCAAATTCTTTTACATGACTCGCTGTGGTCCCACAAATGTTCTTTCGTTGTCTGACAAAATTATTTTGGTAGGCCGCGGCGGCCTGTGAATCGGGTGAATGCGGCTTTAAATGCTTCCGTTGTGAGGTCTGAACACAGTTCCAAATGCGAAGCCTGGGTTGAAGCACATAAAACATATATAACACATTTGAGCTGGTCGCTTACGAAGCGGTGACGTTTTAATAAGAAATGGACAAGCGAAATCAACACCAGTGGTGCGAATTGATACTGTAAATTTGGTTCTTTCCGGGGATAACGCTGTCATTATTTGGGTTCTGCTCCGATGCTTATATATTGCACATGCCTTTCAGTGGAAGGCACATTTTTTTCTCTTATGTTTTAAGTGTGTGTTGTACTATGCGGGTCATAAGCTGCTTTTCAGCATGAATCAGGGCAGTATAAAGAAAATCTATGACAGGAGAACAAAATCGCGAGTTACCTGTTTATATCAGTCTATACTTGGCTTCAGTGAGCTCTTCTTGGGATAGTACCTCGGTGTTGGATAAAGGTAGCCGCAATGATTAATAAATCAATATATAATATATAAGAAATTTATTTAATGAAGTCTCGCTGACTTTAGAGCATCGATCACCTGTGACATATGTTGGATTCATAAATGTATTACAACTTATTAATTTACCTATTAGATTTATGCATTCTTAAAAGTATTAGTAACGCAAGGGTTAATAACGTGACACCACGAAAGGGTTAACATCGAACGTGATTTGAGGTTTCCTATTCTACCTTTTGCTTTGGTGCTCGTCATTCGCTCGCTTTTGTACATGCATTACCGTCCATTTCAGTTTGTTCGTTCGCTTCTTTTTTCTACCGCTCGCCGCTAGTTCGCCCGCTTAAATTTAATTCTATTATTTTGTAAAGTTATTTGAAGTAATTAAAAGTGAATTGTAAATTGCTAAAATCGCGAGTTTTATTTAATCTCAAAGAGTACCAAGCTCCTGCTAACTGGAAAGAATACACAACATTGCTGGTCCTTCGAGCCGGATAGTGCTCGCATCGTTCGTTTAAGTGCAGTGTAATTACAANGCAATGTATGGCAGATGGCAGGCTTCGAGCTTTCTTCGCTGATTCTGACATAATTTGGCGATTTAACCCTCCGAGCGCCCCTCACATGGGAGGCTACTGGGAAATTGGAATCAAGCGAATAAAGTACCACCTGAAACGCGTACTAGACGAAACTTTACTGTCCTACGAGGAGTTCATCACATTACTGACGGAAGTGGAAGCCTGTGTAAACTCTCGCCCGTTATGTCAAAATTCAAGAAACGCAGTCGATCTCGAAGTTTTAACTCCGGGCCACTTTATGGTCGGCGAATCGCTTAAGTCGATCCCGGAACCTGAGGGTCAAGGGTTCCGTGGCACGCTACATCAACGATGGCAGTTGATTTCCGCAATAAGACGGCACTTCTGGCGTCGCTGGAGAGATGAGTATCTAGTCAGCTTACAGCGTCGGGCTAAGTGGTTTCGCCCATCACGTAACTTCAAAGAAGGAGATATTGTGGCTGTTTTCAATGAGCTCAGTCCACCTACAAAGTGGTTGCTCGCAAGGGTGATCCATTGTCATCCTGGAGCTGATGGTCGTGTACGAGTCGTGACCGTGAAGACGTCGACTGGGGAGTTCGTCCGTCCAATAGCGAAGTTATGCCTACTGCCCACAAAGAAGGATCTATTTTCCGAGGAATAGAATTAAGTGTGCTTATTTCATTTAGTTCGTAATTCGTAAAATATTAATTTGAATTTAATCATGTAATTGAACATGTTAACATACAAGGGCGGCGGTATGTTGGATTCAGAAATGTATTATAACTTATTAATTTAACTATTAGATTCATGCATTCTTAAAAGTATTAGTAACGCAAGGGTTAATAACGTGACACCACGAAAGGGTTAACATCGAACTTGATTTGACGTTTCTTATTCTACCTTTCGCTTTGGTGCTCGTCATTCGCTCGCTTTTGTACATGCATTGCAGTCCATTTCAGTTTGTTCGTTCGCTTCTTTTTTCTACCGCTCGCCGCTAGTTCGCCCGCTTAAATTTAATTCTATTATTTTGTAAAGTTATTTGAAGTAATTAAAAGTGAATTGTAAATTGCTAAAATCGCGAGTTTTATTTAATCTAAGAGAGTACCAAGCTCCTGCTAACTGGAAAGAATACAAACTGGACTATATATCGTGATCTTCATAGAGTATAACATCTAGTTATGTTTCTCGTAGAAGAATATTATTTGCTAGAGGGAATGAGTTTTTGGCGAGGTGGTGCAGAGTTCGAATTGCCAAATAAAGGTCACAGTTAACACCAAATGTAACTGTGTTAAGTTTAAAACCCTGTATTAACGATTTTGGGGTTTGACGAAATAGGATTCGCTAGAAGTTCTGATACTCCTTGTGTACGAGTATTTGGTGGTAAATTTTCTCAATGTCACCATTAAAGACAAACTTGTGAAGTGGTCATTTTAACAAAAAAAGCATTAAATCATTTCGTAATACGGCTCATACATGTAGCACATCGTTCAATGCCTTTCCTGTATAAGATATTTTGGGATCGTTAAATACGACTCGAACCTTAGTGGTATTGCTACTGGGCTTTAGCATGGCATGATGGAGGAGATAGAATGAAAGGTATTTTCTTTATCTGGTTATTTCAGGGGGTGACGTGGGTGTCACTTGAGTACTTGAGTGCTAAATATTATCCCAGTACCACATTATATTAGTCGCGTAGCTCGTGTTTTCTTTCCAGGCAGTTTAATATCGTATCTTACATCTTCCTACTGGGTTGTGGTTTTCGCATTTTCTTCTCAGTGGGTTTGCTTTGTGATGGCTTTTCCCTGCTTCTAGAATTTCGTCAAGAGTGAATTGAGTGTGTCGTTTATGGTCTCCGTCCCTTGGGTCTTGAATGATGTTATTTTCTCCACCACTGGGCCAATTACCATCCAGCCGAATATGGTATTCTGCGACAACAGCGTTCCTTCAGCTAGCTGACGTAGTCTGCACGACAAGACCTCCTGTGCCTGAAATCTTGTAATGGGTTTCTCTAACGGGTAAATTTAGAATTTTTTGGATTCGAGAGGCTGCGATGCATCGCACGGATTTTGTGGTATTCTCCTTCGTAATATATTGGAACGTACGCGGTGGGTAACAACTTAGGTCCGTTGCCACTAGAAAAATGAGTCGATATTTTGGGGACAGCTTTGTTCTGAATTTGTGAGTTATTTGAGATTCCTGGTAATGTTGAGCGAGTGTAATATGAGATTTCCACTGTGGTTGCTGCCTGTGTTGTCGCTGCTTCCGAGTTTGAGTAGGGATTTGAGGCAGTGGGGTTTAGTAACGAACTCTGACACCGTTGGCAGAAAATACAGGAAAGTTTACTCTGCCATTGGTACTTTAGATGAGAGCAGGAAAGGCAGTTTTCACAATATTTGTGTTCACGTACGAGTTTGAGTCGGTCCGGTACGGAAACATTCCTGAATCTAACGCACACTTTCACTGCGTGGTTAGCGTTACACAGTTTATATGACACCGGCTCCGTGTGAAACATTTGTGTACGTTTTTGTGCTCTCCACTCTCTTTGAACAATGAGATTTTCATATAGTGATCTCAGCTCTTCCCATTAGTAAGTGGGTACTGTTTAACAATACTGCCTGCTTGACTCTTTGATTTGTACCCTAAATGGTATAGCTTTTTGACAGGGGTTAACTTTGGTTGTTGTATATAGACTACCGTAAACATATCCCGAAAGGTCGACCAGTTTTCGTAGCCATGATACCTTAAGGCAAACTTCCTCAGACGTTGGGTTATGAGAAGTATCGAGTGGTTGTTGGGTTATTTGGGTGATGGGATTAAATCTAAGTAGTTGTAATGCTTCCAGAATTTGTGTCTTGCAATTTTTGTAGCTTTCGGAGCATTTTCCATATTTTTTTCGACCGACTCACTCACTCCCGGCTACGCATCTGACATTAATATTGCATCTTAAGATCTTATGAGGCTGTCCCAGTTGCTGTCCAATTGTTGTATTTTGATATTGAGCAATGTCTCTGTCTGGTCACTCGCCAAGTCCGTTGACCGTTTTGCACATAAAACTTCGAGTCGGCTACTTCAAAAAAAAAAAAAATAAAAATAAAAGTTTCTGCAGATATTTGTAAATTTTGCTTGAAGCTGATTTTACTGGATATTTACGAACAAAAGTTTTTATTCCAAAGGAATGGGTGGACCTATCTAATTGAAACATATCGAGAATTTATACGATTTTAGTACTATAGTATTATTTTAGAACTGTTTTTAAGTAAAATGATTAGCTTTTGTACCACTGTACTCAAGTGTGCGATTTGATAAACTGAGGCCCACTGCGCAAATAGGCTGCGCTTCTTGTATAATTTTGGAAACGAAGAAAAAATGCGTTAGAGTGTATGAGCAAGTCACAAAAGCAGTTAGTTATCGTAGCATTATAGCGAGGGAACTTGAGTGTATGTGTCCGCTCACACTGATGATATGATATACATATTTCTACCAAGCAAAGTTTTAGTTGCTGAGAAGAGAATTGTGGGAGATTTTTAAGTTATGGTTGTACGTTTATATGTAAGACTGGCCTCTTTATTTTTTCTTATTTATTAAGAAAATTAAATGTAAAATTTAATATATCCTGTACTAAATAAATTATTATTTTTAGACTATATAGCATACATACATATACATATTATATAAAGGTAACACGGCGTAATTTTTACCGTGACTTTTCTCGTCCAATTAACTTTTGGAGTGGGTGGGATTTTTTATATTTTCGGGTCGTAAATACCGAGGGTTAATATGGGTCTGTACATATTATTGTTAATAACTGTTTTTTATAATAATTTGTACTTACTCCGCCATATAGATCTACTTGTTTTAATTTTTCTTCTACCCGCTTCCGAAGTCCAGACGTTGAAACACTGCTTCAAATCCTGGGAGTGCTTCTTCATTTTTTTTATGTACGTTCATAAATTGTTCACAAGTTTTTAATTTAATTTAATTTTTAATCATTATTATTGTTATTTGTATATTTTTAATTTCTTGTAATGTTATACCTTTAATTTTTTTTTTCAATTTTGTTTTTTTTTTTTGAAATTTTATGTCTAAACACTTAATGTCTCTCCTTTTGCACACTTATTTACATATTTAATCTTAACCTTTTTTCACAAAAAATATTGTTATTTTATGTTTAATTGCATGATTTTTGGTTTTGAAAAATTTTTGTTTTTGAAGAGCGTAAATTTTAATTTGAAGATGTATATTCTTGTTTTTTTCTAAGTAGTTAATTTTCTTTGAGATTACCGTTGCTCGTGCCCTCGTTTTTCTATGTAATATGCACTATGTTTATTTTTTTACACTATTTTTGTAACACTTTAATGTTTTTTATTTTCTTTAATTTAATTACTTTTTATAAACTTTTTCAAAAAACTTCTATTTCTTTTAAATGATTTTTATTTGTCTCATACACGTTGAACATAATTTTTTGTTGTGTTAATGAATTTTCATTATATAAATATGCCTGTATGTACATATGTCTTTTAATAAATTAGGGCTTTTTCTTTACTTAATTTCTCAAAATCTTTAATTTGTTCCGCAAACCTTTCTTCAGTTTATTAAATCTGGTCCACTCGTATTGAAAGTTTAACCGTTATTGCCTATCCGAACGAGTTTTGAGCGCCGGTAAATGGTAGGCAAAGCTGTGTTTATTTGTTTTAATTATTTTTATTTATATTAATATTTAATTTTATTAATGTTTTACTTTATTTATATTTTTAATATTCTGGGCAAGCCAGTTCTTTTAAATGGCTGCGAGGGACCATGTTTATTTCCACACGAACTGATGGAGAAACTTATATTTTGATTTCTGAATTCAATTTATTTATGCAATTTTTTAATTTCTGAGAAAGTACATTCTTAAGAAAATTAATTTTTAAGTTTGAGAATGTATTTAAATTAAAGTTTTTTTAAATTGAACTGTCTGCCTTAACTCTTTAAGTACTCATATCCTCAACAGTAAGTATTTTATAGCTGTAAGGTAAGTATATATATTATTTTAAATTTGTAGTTATTGACTGAGATTTGAACCTTGTCGGATCCATAGTATGAGAGAGGTATAAGAGAGGTGGCATTGTTATTCTTCAAAAATGGTTATCGAGTAGGTGGAGTATAATATTTCGACTTTTCAGAAGGAGAGGACTGTATATCTCGAGGGTCTCGAATTGTATTTGACCAGAATCCGAAAGGCTGTAGTATCCAATTTGTATTTTTCTATCGAATCTAACGATATTCAGTACCTCACATTTTGTGGATTTGAGATGGTTTGGATAGTTGAGGCTGAGTGAATCTTGTTGCTCAGTTTTTGTTACTGACGATCTGGGATGTCCTCGTTGATACGTATAATCGTGGAGATGCTTTGGAGGACACAAATGGGTATAAGTGTTGTTTCTGCAACCTGAGTTTATGATGATCCGCTGAACAATATTACTGCTTGAATTGGTAGATCGACTTGGAAATTGATATTTTTTCTTTCTTCATGCGAGGTTATGTTTCGTCTGGTCTCGGGGAATAGACAGCGTTTTAGAGGAGAGGTCAAGAAGCTTTTGTATTCGAGAAAATACAAAAGTTTTTGGGGACCTTAGTCTCGTATTTTCGTTACTTTTCCTTTGCTTAGGACGGGCATGTCAGCTATGGGTAGCAATACTGTATCTCTGCTACTTATAATGTGAGAGAGTACCCTTTGGGTGAGTAGAG